AATGTGACAGTAATCACCCTTTCATATTATATGCTGTGTATCAACAAGTTATTTCTACTTAGTGATAAAGAAAAAGTTCTTAAAAAGTTCTTTTCCAAAAATGCAAATGTACCTCTGTATAGGCCAAAATTACCAGCTAAGATTGTCAATAAATATTAATTCTTTGTAACATATACTAAGACTGTCTTCACTAGGAATTTCACTCTGAAAAATTCAATCTTTACGCAGTCACTGCATGCAAATTTTCCCAGGTGCCTATACATTCCCTCGTTAATAAATAGTACCTATTGCGTAAAAATAAGGCTGGGACTTACACTGAGTACTGTTACCGGGGATACTAAATCCTTTTCAACCTCACTGCAGCCTGATCCTGCAGTTAGAATCAGGTTATGGACAGTTTTGCTCACCATAATCAGCAGTTGCTCCTGAAGCACCTTCCCCACTGCTGCCCCCCAGCACTATTCATACCCAGCAGCCGTGAGGAGGTCTTCTGGACTGCCATGGCTTCCAGGTTTGGTGGGGAAAGGATGTTCCACCAGTGTCTGAATGTCCCTTCTGGCTATCCTCACAGGGCCAAATCCTCAGCAGGTGAAAAATTGAGAGCTTCACCCATGTATCTGCTGAGGATTTTACCATCTTGAAGGAAAGAAATGTAGGAAAACACTTTCCTCAGCCATATTTGCAGCCTTTCTCACACACTGCCAGCTCCCCCTTATTCCCTGCCCACGTCTGCAACTCCTGATTCCTTAAAAGCAGGGGCAGAAGACTGCAGAGGTGTCCAATGTGTGAAGAGACGTGGGATAAGCAGACTCTCCCAGGTCAAGACTCCTGTCTGAGTGGTCAAGACCCAAGGACATTCCTCCCTCCTGCCGTTTCTCAGATTGGTGTAAAGAGCTGGAATGACAAGAAGGGACCTGGTGGGAGACATCCCAGGATGGTTGTCACATTTTCTGGGTTAATTAGTCAAGACTAAAACCCCCTGGCTGCTACTGAGCCCCTTCTCACCCCTGGCTCTTACCCAGACACCTGAAGTGGCAGGGTCAGTGGGATGGCTGCCAACCACATTGCTGAATAACGTGTCAGCATCAACTCACACTTCCCCCATCTGCCAGTATCCATCTGTTGTCTCTCATCCCCTGCTTGGCGTCCCAGCACCTTGAGGCTGGAGGTGTCTCTTTGTCCCCCATCTGTGCAGCACCCAGCACAGGGGGGGTCCTGGCCCCAGCGGAGGTGACACAGGGGACAGCTCTAGCCCAGAGCCAAGGCAACCCCAAGATGAAACCATAGCACACGCAGTAGGAGGGTGCATTTAATGCAGAGAGGAGGCTGAAATTCCCTGTCTCTATTTGCTTTCTTCACACCATCATGTGGATTTTCTTTCACCCTAAGAGGAGATGCAGGCTCATCCTGGATATTGGGGTGCACTCCAAAAGCTGATTTACTGCACCCTATGAGAAAGAAACAGCCCCAGAGAAGTGGAACCAGTTCACCCAGAAGTGGTGTCTTTAGGTCTGTTCTTCAGTAGGATTTGGAAGATGGGAATTAACATGTGTTAATCCTGCAGCCTTGTTGAAGAAACTTCTAAATAGCTTATATGTATTAAACACAGCCTTTGCTGTCTGAGTCTGTTACTGCCTTTCAGTTAACACCTCTAGAGAAGGTCCTAACCAGACACCAAGACAGAAAACAAAATAAAACTTTAGACAGCCTGATCTTAAGCAGGGGTTGTAAGGTGATAGATAAGGCCACACAAAAGAAGAAAAAAAACTCCTCCTGATGGCTTCCTGGAAAACCCCAGCATGTGGGGAGACATTCCCAGAAACTGATGAAAGGATTAAAAAGGAAGAATGGAGTGGCATGGAGATAACACTAACACGTCTTTTTTTGAGAACTCGGGAAGTGGACCCTTGGGCCTATTTCATCTGCCTATCACCCCAAAAATTAGTTTATTGACTATAGCCACTCAAACTGCCTAACAGAAAAAAGGTATAAAAAGAGATTGGACCCAAGCAAAAATCGGCAAGAAATTCCATCAACTCTGCAGAGGTAACCGACAGACTACCTTTTTCTCCCTCCACCTTCTTGGGACGCCTTGGGGTGAGCGATCGCTTTATACAGATATACTAATTTTACTTTTGCTCCATAGTACTTTGAAATTTTTACTTATTACTTCATTGTAAGTTGCTTTTACTTTAGCATATGTGCCTATGCTTGGCTTTATTATTACATAGTTTAAGTGTGTTTTTGAAGTTAGACCCTATTCCAGACACAACTGATGCCCCAGAGCTTTTCTTTTAGGCAACACAACGAACCCCATAAATTGTCACAAATTTATATTAATAAACGTGTTATTTCATGAACTGTTAGAGTGAGTCCGGGGGGGGTCCTCCACAGGCCAGGGCTGCCCCAAAAGTGGCCGCGCGGGCAGTAAGCCCTGCAGCGTTTAACATCCTGCTTTGCAGATGCTACTGAGCTCTTTGGGCTGGAAGTCAGCTTAAAGAAGACTGAAGTTCTCCATCGACCTGCACCTCAGGAAGTCCCCCATCATCCCCACATCACCATCGGCCAATCAGAACTCAAATCAGTCCAACAGTTTAATTACCTAGGCAGCCTCATCTCCTCGGATGGTAAGATTGACGGGGAGATAGATAACAGGTTAGCGAAGGCATATAGTGCTTTTGGAAAGCTTCATAAAAGAGTCTGGCGAAATAAACACTTGAAGAAAAGTACCAAGATCAGTGTTTACAGAGCCATAGTGCTGTCTACTCTTTTATATGGCTCCGAATCATGGGTCATTGTGGTGGTTTGGGCTAGGCCTTCCTTGGTGACCAGTTTGTAACCAAGGAAGGGTCCAGATTTACCCAGTATTCCCTACGATTTTTACGTAAGCCAGACTATAAGAAGAGAGGAGCAGAGGCCTTCGCTCTCTTTCCTTCCGGCGGCTTGGAGGTGCAGGTTCCCTGCTGTTGAGTCTGCCGTGTTGGGGAGCGAGGCCTGGCTAGGCCTTGCTGACCTTGGGAGACAGAGGTTGCCGGTGATCATTCCGGAGCGACTCTCGGTTGTCCCAGGAGAGTAGTGAGATATCTTCTTTGCTAACTCTTTTGTTCTTTAGTTACTAGATCTCGGGCTACTGATTGGGATATATATATATATATATATATTTTTTTTTATTTTAGTTTTGTTCCTTTTCCCCTTCCTCTTTCCCTTTCCCTTGTGAAATTGTATATAAGTGTAAATATATTTATATATATCAGTTTGGTTGTCCTCTCTCTCGTTTTCGGGTTTTTCTTAGTTTTTTTCTCCCTCTTCTCCCTGAGGTTTCTTTTTGTTGGGGGGGGGGGGGACTTCTGGTGGTAAGGTTTGGAGACTTGGCAGGGAGCCAGCTTCAAACCATATCACCTTATTTGGTGTTTCTGCCCGGTTTCGAACCGGGGACCTTTTTACCAGTCATCTACCGCCACCACCTGTGTCTTCTAGAACACTTCCATCAACGCTGCCTCCACACAATCCTAAACATCCACTGGTCAGATTATGTGACCAACACATCAGTTCTTGAACAGGCAGCAATCACAAGTATTGAGGCCATGCTGCTGAGAACACAGCTGCGTTGGGCAGGGCATGTCTCTAGGATGAAGGACCACCGCCTCCCTAAGATCCTGCTTTGCGGTGAACTTGCCACTGGCTGCCGCAAGAGAGGAGCCCCAAAGAAAAGATACAAGGACTCCCTGAAGCAACAACTCAGCCTAGGGCATATTGATCACCATAACTGGTCTACTCTGGCCTCCAATCGGGAGGCCTGGAGACAAACCATTTATAACGCTGCTGATGCTTTTGAGAAAGCACACAGGATCACCCTTGAGGAGAAAAGACAATGCAGAAAGAATGGAGCCTTGCAGAATATACCACCTAAGGAGTCTTTCTGCTGTGTCTTTTGCAACCGGACATGCCTTTCTCGTATTGGCCTTTTTAGCCACCAACGTGCTTGCAACAAACGTGGGCAGAGCCCTTCCCAAATCTTTGTTCGCGAAGCCTAACCATGATGATGATGAGAGTCCACTTTTAGGTGCTGACAGTTTCGTCAAAGGTGAAATAACTCATAGGAGAAATCTGCTGAGGGGTTTTTCTACCGCTATTAAGTGCAGTCCTTATATAAATAGGTATCAAATGTCCTGTCCGTCTCAGCGAATCTGTTAAGCAAAGGGTCCCATTAGGTGAGACGCTAACAGACTGTTCTGGACATTAAAAGGCTTTGATCTCCTGGGGGGGGACACTGATAGACAAAAAACAAATTAATACAGGTTGGACAGAAAATTCTTCTTTTCTGCCCCTTTTCACATGACAGGGGTGTTTGGAGAGATAGAGTTGGGGCACAGATTGCATCTCAAGTGACCCTGATGCTCTTTTAACTAGCAGGTTTCCTGTCGTCCTGGCAGGTAAATGCATAGAAAACCATAGCTGCAGTATAGTGACTCATGGTCCTCTAGAAAACTCTCACTGCATGCTCCAAATCCTCACTTCAACCCTGCAGTATCAGAGAATCCAGCAGACTTGTAGGAGATGACTGAACTTAAATCAACATCTTCAACATAATTTTTTGGGTAGGCTTTAAACTTGTTCCATGAATTGAAGGAGCTGTATGAGCATAAGTGCTCCCTCACCTCATCCCCCTATATAACTGCATCTAAACTAGTTATCCACCAGAGCTGTGATCAGTTAGGAGCATATAACATACATATTCAGCTTTTGAAATGTCTTCTGGCCCTAGTGACTTTGCAATGGCTTTCACAAGGTTTGGATCTGGTCCCTCCTGTTCTTCTTTAGTCACTTCCCTGATTAGGTGAATGTTAGTGTCTGGGAAAGGAGATGAAAAAGGTCCCTATCTGTCCTGATTCTGAAAGACTCAGGCCTGATCCTTCCCTGCCAGTCATCGTGACTAACACTGCCCTGCCAGCCCATCCCAGGCAATAAGGGATTACTTACAAGGAGTAAAGGTAGGACAGGAGGATGTCAGACAGCCTATGATGGACTGAAATATCAGTAATGTCTTAAACATTGTCAAAATCATAGAAAGACTTTTTGTCAAACTGCTGTGACCACTGAAGCCCACCCCCCCCCCCCCCAGTGCCTCCTGACTGGAATTTGGACTGTGACTGGGAACTTGAGATAAGACTATTGTTTAATCATCTCAGGTTTGAGAAGTAAACAAGGCCCAGGGAGTGGTGGAGGAGAAGGGTTTTGGGGCTGTGATGGTGAAATCTCTCCACACCAAACCAAAGGAGTAACCCCCTTCCCTCTGGGAAGGCCACGTACACATGGGACATTCACCTGAGAGGCAAGCGAGAAGGGGTCATAAACCATCAAAGACCCCCAAAGTACCCCCCTCAACTCATTCCTGAGACCTTCTACTGCCAAAGGACTGCAGGTGATCCAAGTGAGGCAACAAATCCGGAGCCTGTCGCAAAGCTTTCCCTGCCCCCTGCTGGGGAGTTGCCTGGGCATCTCCTGAACGTATATTAATCCATTGGATTCTATGTTTTGCACGAGCCTCACCACCAAGAAGACCAGAAGAACCAGACCCATGGGACTCTGCCGGGTTACATGGAGTGGTGATACATTTTCTATTTTAATCTCTCTCTGTCTCTTTCTTCCCCCCCCCTTTTCCTATTTTTTTCTATCTCTGTTTGACTCACATTTACCATTAAATAAAACCCATGCTATTGACTTTGGCATCTGGTCTCATTTGCACTTTAATTCGGGCAGAGGCATTTCTAATAATTTTAATAACTGAATCATAACACAGCCTGTCCTGGAAAGATTTATAAATGCACCATAACCGACTTCACAGGTTTAGTGCCTTGGAGAATAATTGAAAGGGATGTTCTATATTGATCTTTTCAAAAAGTTCAGTTTGTCTAATCCATCCCCTCCCTAGAACTGTGTGAAAAATGTTTGAACTTGTAGTGCTGGGGTTGGATTCTGCTCTCTGTCACCTGGGTGTAAACCTGGGGAGGCAACTCTGAAGGTCGTGTGTCATGGGTTTACTTGTTCTAAAAAAACAAACGGGAATTTTTCTTTCCCCTGCTGCATGTGGGAGAGGGATGTTGAATGGAGAGGACAGTTTTCTGCCTTGGGTGATTACCTACACAAAGGAGCTGGCTGGCAGAACTACATTCCAGCCTGATAGCCCTCTCTGGGGCTGGGTAGGGGGTGGGGAGTTTTTCTCCCCTCCTCTCCTTGGAAAGCGGCACTTCACTTTCTGCCTTAATGGAGACAAGGTGTGTGTATGTGTTGGAAAAGCTTTGAGGCCGTTTTGCTCTTGACCTGGTCATCTGGCTGCTCTCCGGCCTCAGCTTGCCTGCACGCTTCCCTGTCACCAACCTGAATCTGCTCAGATTTCATTGTAGAGTTTGTGCTCACCGACGAACAAGGGGGGAATCCTGACTACAGCCAGCTGCAGACAGCACAAGTTTAGTGGGAAAGAAACGGTCCTTCTTTCCCCTTTTTTCCCCTTCCCCTCCTCAGTGGTGGGGGGGAAAAAATCTCCGTTTTTTGGCTTCTCCTGCAATCCGGGGCTCCCAACAGCGCCCCCTGCTGGCCATCACCGAGCACTGCAGGCTCTGCACCTCTAGTGATCCAACAGCGCTCCTGCCAACTGTGATTAGAGTCGCGCTAGAGGACAGAGAAGCATCAAACTGTTTCCTTTTTGAAGGGGACTTTTGGGTACAGGATTGTTGTTTAGTTGTTTTTGTGTTCTGTTGCTGGTTTTGCCAATATACATATATCCTTTAATCAAGGATTGTTATTTCTTCCTTTTTCCATACTTCCTCAATTGGAGCATCCTAATTTCGGATTTACAATTGCTGAGAGAGAGGAGTTTGGTCTACCTCATAACTCATCCTCCTTAGCAAAACACTCCAGTCTCCTTAAACTGAGACATCATGGCAGTTTCCATGGTGTAAGGGAGAGCAGAAAGCAACCCTAGGCGTAGACTGGGTACTGGTGTCTGTAGCTGGGCTTGGTTTGAGGAAAATCATTTTTGTCACTGCAGGTTTCCAGTGATTTGATGAGATGGGCCTTATGTATCCATGTTGTGATGTGAATGCCAGGCATTTATTATATGAAATATGGAGGGGAAAGATGATTTTGTGATTAAGAAATCAGACTGGGACTTGTATAATCTGTGTTTTATTCCAAACCCAACCCTAGATTGCTGCTCTGCTCTTGGATAAGTTATTTATGCTCAGATCCATAAAGCTATTTAGGTATTCAGCACCTATTGATTTCAATGAAAGTTGGGCTCCAAGTGCCTTTAAAGAGCTGAGTCAATCTCAGTGCAACTTAGGGTTAGGAACCAAGTCTAATAGATCATGATCTGGTACTTCTTTTCTCCTACTGGATGTGTGCTTGTTTGTGTCCATTCGGAATATGGTACCTCTGTATGTGCCTGTACAGCATGCAGCACAGTGGGGTCTTGATCTCAGTTGCTGCTGGAAAAATGTAATACAAATGTGATCACAATTAAAAAAAAAAGCATCAAGAGCTAAACTGCAAGAAAATAATCTAAGGACCTTAATATTAGTCTATATTTTAATGTTCTCTTGTGCTTTAAAAATTGTTAGCAAACACCATGTCTTTTGGTATGCATTGATCTCCTGTGGCCTTTTCAATTATTCAGCCCTTCTAATTACCCTTCCTCAAAACATCTCATTTATTTTACAAGTGTGAATTAGGCTTTGCAACATACCCTTTCAGATGTGGGGTTATTATAGTCCCAACGTAGTCTGTCTCATGGAAAGAAAACATTTAAATCATCATCAGATCTTAACATAGTTTGGGCATGTGCCCTGGCTGCTTTTAATACTAGCTCCTTTTCAGTTTCTGTCAAAGCATCTAGCATCAAATTGATATCTTCCCAGTCTGGATCCAAAGCCTTAATATATGCTTTAAACTTCTTTGCTACCCCAACCGGGTCATCTCTATAATTACGAGCAATATTCTTCCAATTTTCTAGATCTCCCATAGAGGAATTAACTTTAAGCCTTATAGGCCCTTGTGGTCCTGCAGCTTCTCTTAAAGGGGCTTGTATAATTTGTCTGGCTCCTGCATGTGGTGAAACAGATTTTGCCCTCATCTTGCTGCATGTTTGCCTGCTATGGGGAGATAAGGATGGGGAAAGAGATGTTTTTCTTCTTCCCCTTTCTCCGTCCCTCTCTTGCTATCCTGAGGATGAGGACAATTTATTGTCCTCATCTTTTACCAGCCCTGAGGGGGGGACAGAAGCCCCCTCTTCTGCTATTTCGTTTGGCATTTCTCCAAAGGGACTTACATAATCATCAATTCCACTTTCTGGTTCACTATTCTTATATTTCAAACACCTCTGTCCTATAGAACATGCTGAACAACATCGTTTAAGCTTCCCTATTCCTTCTTTTAGATTCTCTCGTTCTAAAGTTAGAACAAACAGATCTTGCAGGACCAAATTAATGCCACACTCTCTCTGCCATTCCGGGTGTTCCCACAAAGAAAAGAACATATCGGCATAAATTACTTCATCCCATTTTCCTTCCCTTCACAAAAACAACATTAACTGTAGTAAGATACTATAGTCTAACGATCCATGCTTTGGCCACTTTGCGCTTTCCCCTAGTTTATACGGGGGCCACCATTTGGTACAGTACTTCGTTAGGGTTTTCTTGCTAGTGTTCCCACCCTGGGGTCCCCATATTTCTTTCCAGTGTGTTAAAATACATCCTAAAGGGCTTTTGTCAACCTCTTGTTTTCCCTTCTGGTTTCCCATTTTTAGCTTTCGCTTTGTCTGCCTCTGGTCGTGCCCTTTGCAAGATAACAGAGACACAAATTCAAGCACCCACTCGCTCTGTGGTTACTTGCATGTTTCAGTCACACTTCTAGTACACACCACACAGCACCAGTTTCAGTTGTCTACGGGCTCAATTAGTCCTTAAAGCAGGAAGGCTTTGAACCAGTTCTGTCAGCTGTTTTAGTACTTCCTGTTCTGTTGTCTTGCAGGAATCTTCAACCTGACATTGAGAACAAAATAAAAGTTCCTTTCTAGGGTGTTTCATTGCCCTAAAATATCCACACTCCCTACAAACTATATCCACTAACACAGGGTAGCAATCCCCACAATCTGGATACTAACAAAAAGGAGAACTACCTCTATTCCTTTTGTCTTGTTTCATATACAGATCTCGTTATGCCCTCTGGCACTGTATAAGAACAGTATCTAAATTCAACCATTCTAATGCTAAAGTTCCATCCGTGCAATTTATAACTCTTTGCCAACGTGCTCTCCAACCTTGTAAGACCGCTCCACAAATACATGTGCTTTCGTCTTCTAAATCCCCCAGTGTCAATCCTGTCCCTAATTTCAGGTTAACATGCTGAAATTGCCAACAAGTAACGCAGATTACGAGTATATGAGGTGAACAATTCTTACAAACTAAGCACAGATAAGGGTTAGCACTTTCGTTTGCTGTTAACAGAGAGGCTGACAGGCCTGGAGTTTGTGGCATTTACAAGCGGTCAGCAAACTTCCGGGCCTAATTCCTGCAAACAGTAAGTGTTAGAGTCAGTTTCCTGCCCAATTAGTTCTGTAAACCATGAAACCACAATCTCCCATAAACACATGAAGGTAGTCTTTTTGCTGTGATTGGAAGTAAAACAGTAACAAATATAAACAAATATAATTCCCAATATTTGCTTACTTAACACACAACAGTAATTTTATGACATAAAAGACAATACTCACAAACAAAAGCAAACAATATAATCAACACACACAAGGGATCCCCACAGATGGTTTAAAACAAACCCAAAGATAATATATTACCAGACTTACCATGATCGCAATTCCGAGTCCAAGTCCAAGTCCAAAATCCAGCCACAAAGGTAAACCCAAAAACATCCATCCCTTTCTTCCAAATCCTCTTAGCCCGAGGAATTTGGTGAAACTTTGGTGAGACGCTAACTCACAGTCAAAGTCTATACAACTTTCCAGTGGGACTCGAACACAATTAGAAAGATGCATCTCTTGCTAGCTGCTAGAAAGCCAGAGCCCTAGAAAACCAGCGTACAACCTATGGTTTTGTCATGGTTTGAGCCCTCTAAAAATCCAGTTTCCAATTTCCAAACCTCCCCCCAATTTACCTCAACACCGAAGAGAAATTTCAGACAGGCACAACTCAGTATGGGGGAAGGGGATTATATTTACAGGGGAAAGGATGCTTTCCTGGGGGATAACCCCTTCGAGCTGGTATGTTCCAGATGTGTTTGTATTTGGCCAAATATTGTTTATTTTGAGGGAAACAAGGTATCCAAGTTTCCTTTTGGTTGTTCTTTTGTTTATGGTCTTGGTTTCGTTCCCTTAAGTTTATGATCACCGTATGAACTGGGGTTTGAGGCATGCTATTGTATTATGTATTCTTGGAGAGTGGCAGTTGTCATAGTATTCTGTTTGGTTTATGTTGCTTTGATAATTTTGTGTTGTCTTGTTTTGTGTTGGAAACAAAATCAAACTTCTGAAGTTTCTGTTCGTTCTGAACCAGCCATAGAAACATCTTGTTAAGGTTTTTTTATGGGGAAGGGGTCTGAGAAATTGACTGTGAATACACTACACAGCCTAAGACCTAGAATTAGAATTTGTCCATTCTGTAATTGTTCATTATACGTGCGTGCTTTATGTAATAATTGTTTGAAATATATTCTTGGACCACAGTCTTCCCAAGAAATAAGATTAGATTGGACTTTGAATTTATATTGTATTAGATGTGGAGCTAATCAGAGTTTGGAGGAAACTCGGTGTGCTAGGTTTTATTGTGCCAGAACTCATAGACGTGTATCTCTTGAGACATTCAGATTCGTCATAAAGCGTGCATTTTTAGAAATATATATTTTTTGAAGCACTTAGGTTTGTTGTAGAGTGTGCATTTTATGGTCAACAGCGGCATCTTGTGGATTTGTGTGGATATACAGGCTTATTGCCAGAGCCAGGTATATTTGTGGTCTAAGGGTGACATCTTGTGGATTTTTGTATTAGTACAGGTTGGTTGTAAAATCAGTGGATTTAGGAGGTTTCGATCGAGAAGTAGTATTTGGATTTGAAGGGTAGATATTATTTGACAATATAATAGTTGTGTTTGTTAGGATATCACAAATTTAATCATTTATCTTCATAATGGGGGTCAAAATGAGTAAAGAAATAAATGCCAAAACTCCCGTGGGGTGTAGATTAAAACATTGGAAAGATTTGGGAGGGATCCCCGGAGGAAACAAGTGAAAAAAGACCTTTTTAAAATATTGTCAAAGCTGGTGGTCACTCTATATATTAGATGATGGCGAGAAATGGCCTCCTCAAGGGAGTATTAATTACAATACAATTTTACAGTTTATGTTGTTCCTCTGCAGGGAGCAGAAGTGGGATGAAGTAATGTATGCAGATATGGTTTTCACTTTAAGAAATAAGCCAGAATGGTAGAAAAGTTGTGGAATTAATGTAGCCCCCCAGGATCCCCTTGTGTTGGCATTGGAAAAGAGTCAGAAAAATAGTAAGCCGAGAAAGCATTGCTGTGATGCATGTAGTATAGGTCTGTGGTGGTTTGAAAAAGGCTTTTCCTCAGGAGTTTTTTCAAACAGCTTAGTACACTCATGCGGAAGTTACATACTCACAGAAAGGGAAGAGAAGAGGTTAATTCTGGACTGCGTGGCTAGAAGCAGAGGCAACCATGCCTTAAGCGTGCCAGGTGTGCCCAGGGCCAGGGGGCCCTTGCCCCCGGCTCCTGCCGGCTGGGCCAGGAGCAGCCACCCATGCTGTGGAACTCCCTCTTCCCCCCCTGAAGCCAGTGACTGAAGAGGACCCTGGAGGATCAGGAAAGACCTCCAGGTCGAATTTTCTCCACTTCGCAGAGATGGAGGTGAAAACAGCAGCGGAGTGCTGTCGGCCGGGCAGAGTTTTGCGACTGGTGGACATACAGTATTGGAACGGAGCCAGCATAAATCAAGGAGTAGTGAGAGAGAGAGAGAGAGAGAGGGCTAAACTGAGAGAAAGCCCTGACCTTTGGGAAAGCAGCTGCAACGCCCAAATATGTAAGTGTCGAGGGGAATCTTTCCCCCAAACTTGAGGGGGAAGTCCTTGGGCCCCCTGCAGGTCCTAACCTAGCTAAGACTACAGGAGTAAAAACTCCTCAGGAGTTTTTTTTCAGCCGACCTTGCCGCTTTTCTTCACTGTGGGAAGGAGGGGTGGAATTCCCAAATAGTCTTCCAAGAAGCTCCAACCTCGGGAGCCAGGATTTTTACAAAGTAAAAACAGGAGATAAAGACAAGATAAGAGACACTTAACAGTGCCAAAAGAAATTAATTTAGAAGAACTGTAGCTTGAAAGTGAAAAAAGACTTCTCCTCCTTTTTCTCCTGGACTCTTTTTGGAAGAAAGGAGGGACTTATCTAATGTAATATATTATTTTACTGTATCTGTAGAAGAAATAGTTGTTATATATATATATATATGTATGTAAATAAACCTTGTATTTTCCCCTTCCCCCAGTACTGAGTAGTTGTGTTTTGTCTGAAAACCCTCTCACACTGGGACAAATTGTGGGAGGGGGGCTTGAACTTGGAAATTGGATTTCTGAGTCTCAAACCACCACAAGGTCAAAGGTGTCTTAAGCTGGGAAAGAGAGATAGTGATGAGGAAAGTATCTTAGACCCTCAGGACCTGCAGCTGACACATTTTAGGGGACCAGAGCTGGTTAGGCAAGGACCTAGCAGCCCGCAGGAGTCGGGATTAGATGCAGAAGACTCTGAAAGTATAGCAGAGAGCATAGACGATCCAGGAGTTAGTAGCACATATCGTGGTCAGACTGTGGGACAGAAAACTGAGCAAGACTGGGGGTAGAACAAAAGCTAAAACTGAGACGAGTCACATGGTGGCTCCCCTGCGGCAGGTAATAACACCTACAGGTAATCAGACAAGAGTGAAAGCACCCTTTTCAGCAAGTGACTTGAATAGCTGGAGAAGCTAAATTTTTTAGGGAAAATCCTGAGAAGGTGGCTAAGAGATTTTAATTAATTGTGAAAAATCAGGACATTGATTGGTCAGATATAGATCTGATGCTATCAGAACTGACAGAAACAGAAAAAGAGCTTGTAATAAAAACAGCAAGAAATCACGTGGAAGGACAGATTGCAACAAATGTGTTAATGGGGGACAAAGATGTAATTTTTCCACTACAAAAACCTAATTGGGACCCAAATAACCCAGATCATTATAAGTTGTTGGATCAGTATAGGAAATTGGTCGAGGTGGGATTACGAAACACTATTCTTAAAGCGGTACATTGGGTTGCCTTGTATGATGTAAGGCAAGGATGGGACGAGACCCCCACTGCATTCTTAGACAGACTTAGAGCTGCCATGAGAAAATACACTACCTTGGATCCATGATCAGACACAGGTAAACAGCAACTGGTGGGGTTGCTAATGGGACAAAGTAACCCTGATATTAGAAAAAGGTTACAGAAAATAGATCACCCTTCTAATAAAGATTTAGAGGCATTAATGAATGAGGCTTGGAAAGTGTACAACAACAGGGAAAAAAAGGAAGATAGAAAACTTACAAGGGTGGTGGTTGCTGCTTTAACTAAGAATCCAGTGATACTGGGGCAGAATATCAGGGGTCGTGACCGAGGACAGGCAATGCAGGGGAGGGGAGGTGTGCCTCTCTGATGCCTTAAGGTCCATTTAATTTTTTGATTTTTCTACTTTTTATAAGTTTTATAAGAAGTTATATAGCAGAAGTAGATTTTAGAAGCAGCAGCACTTATCCCCTTACCCTTAGTGCAGAAACTCTCCAAGTCTATTACCCCATTCCATGCTCCCCATATCAATTCTACCCCTGGATTCCATTAGAACTTCTTTAGTCTCTCTTTAAGACAGGCCTGTTCTGTTCGGAGAATGCTTGTATCTTGGCCTAAACCACAGAACACGGTCAGAAATTGGGTGACCGTGTACCCTTTGTGCTCTGAAGAAGATGAAGATTGATGAAGAGAGGGTCTTAAAGACCCCAGCCCCAATTCCCAAGGGACGTGACTGAGGGTGGTCCAGGGCAAAAGCCATGGGGTAGAAACATCTGGGATTGGACAGACAATTTTATAAATTGTAACATCTGTACAGAGGGGTTTGCGCGCACGTCTTGTAATCTTATGCCGAGGCACAAATTAAAACCCTTTCCTTATCTCACCTTCAAAACTAATTTGCCTCGGAGTTTTTTTCTCCCTGAATTTTCTTTTAGCCATCATCTCCAACAAGCAAAAGTGGGTCAAAATCCATGCGCTTATTGCATGCAAGAGGGGCACTGGAAGAGAGACTGCCCTAAATTGGCAAATAGAAACTCAGGAGGGGCTGTCATAGCCCACCAAAATAGTGAATGAAAGAGACTGGCTGGTTTATCCCCAGCAGACCCGCTGATTAAAATTGAGCTCGGGGGAAAAAAGGAAAAATTGGACTTTTTAATCGACACTGGAGCTATGTTTTCTGTTTTAAATCAGGAAATGATACCTAAAAGTGATAAATATGTACAAGTCGTGAGTGCCACTGGCCAATCAGAAAAGGCTTTCTTTTTGAAACCCCTAAAATTCAAAATTGGGAAACAAATGAAAGTCAATCAGTACTGAGGCATGTATTCCTAAGGGACAATTAGGATACATCTGTGAAAATGCTGTGGCAGAAAAAAAAGATTTATGCTTAGATATGGAAGATAGTGTATATACCTTTGAAATGCTTCCCCATGCCAAGACCCAGTCACAAGTCTATTATGTAGGAAATGGATGTGCATGTGTTAGGACTTTTTGTGTTAACTTTACCATGGATAATTGTCATGAAGTAGCGAATGGTACTAATTTTTGTGTGTGTAATTTTACTCGAATCATAGGCTATGACTTTGATTATATTGTTCCAGTGTCTACTAGACAACTGATTGAAGCTGATTATGCAATGTACCATGATGTGCCGAAATTGCAGATAGGTATGGATAATAATATTTTTAAGGCAATGCTTAGACACCCTGATATAGAGAAACTGGTCCAAGAAGTGAACAGAACGACTCAGCGTATGGTCTGGCAGGTGGAATATGACACTGAAAATATAAAAACTATCTTAACTAAAGTGGAACAAGTGGGAGAACATCATTGGTGGGACATCTTTACAGGGTATTCCCCTACAGTAACACAAGCGTTTCACTATTTAATACATCCAATATTGGTTTTAGTAGCAGCTATAAGTCTGCTATCCCTCTTAAATGCTTGGTTGTGGTACAGACTGAGTACCATAGTCAAAAGGATGCAGATAATGTGGGCAGTGATGCATACTTATCAAAGCCCTTTTGTAGAGTATTTACAGGAAAATAGACACATTATGAACATCCATATTTGATTGTTCTGAGCAGCAATAGGCCTTACTTAACATAACTTTGAAGGTTGTTAAAAGAATAGTTTATAGTTGCACACTGTGTGAAACTATGCAATGTTTATACTTGTTAACTGTGTGAAAATTATATGTTTATAGTTGTAAGGTATGAGAAAATCCTGTGGTTATAGTTGAAAGTTTTGGGAAGCTGGAGATAAAGGGACACCTGCAAAATCTCAGGAAAATCCCTAAAGGCGGATCGATAGGAGGGACTTTGGGTGGCATGTATGATGTCAGAGCGCATGGACAGAGCACCAGAACCAATGAACTGAAGGCATGAGACGCGTGCACAGACTGAGCTATCCAATCACCTTGTTGTAAGCACGTACCCGGAAAAAACTAAACTGTATAAAAGTTAACTCATTTAAATAATAAATTGGACATGGCTTTGATCACATTGATCATCTGCGCGTTGTTTCCGGAACTCCTGCTATCCATACCCTTTGGAACTCAACAAAGGAATTTGCAAGTCATAAGAAAAGGGGGGACTGAATAAGAAGCTAAGCCCAAAAGAGTTAATTGAGAAATCTGGGTCTGCTAAGGAGCCCCCCCAACATCTGTGCTACTAAAGACTTGTTCTGTTCTGCCTACTGGACCAAAACTTAGAAGAATGGTAGAAGAAGTATACAATAGGCCTAGAGGTAATAAATTAGGATACAGTAAGATAAAGTAGACATTTGAATAGGAGAAATAGGCCCGGAGTCAGGGCTTTCTCCAAGCTTCACTGAGCGAGTCGAGAACAATGGAAAGGTAAAAGGGTCAAAGTGATGAAGATGAGAAGAGATCCCAGACTCATGGGAGGAAGAGCGAATTTCCCACCAAAATTGAGGGCCAAGAGAAGCACTGCCTCAAGCTCCACCTGAGCTCCGCCTATACTCCGCCTGTTATTAATATGTATAGATAGATGTTGTAATCATATGAATATGCATTTAATCATACATGAAAATTGTATAAAACCCCCTGATTTTGTGTGAAACCTTGGAGCAAGTTTTCTGTGGTGCAAACCACACTTGCTCCCAACGTCGACAATAAATACCTTTGCTGCTCAAAAGATCCAAAGTCTCTGAGCAGTTCCTTATACTGGAATTTTCAGATTCAATACAAATACATCATCTTAATTGAATGATCATTTTCATTGCACCTTTGAATTTCTGTGATATCCAAACCCTTCATAAACATCCTTAGACTTAACAAGGTTTTAATTTTTCTATCTTCTATCTTTGTAATCAAACAGAAGAGAATATAATAAAGGAAAGCCTTGTTTACCTACCCCCGAGGTGTCCTAAATTTCAAAATTATTTATACTTTTGAGAAGGTAAATCAGCAAAAGAACTAAACTATTCTTTTCATACTGCATTTTTCTAGCTGCATTGAATGCTTATCAAGTGAGGTTTGAGTCAGGTAGGAAAAACATCCTAGCCATGGGACTATAATGGTGGATTTCAAGGAGATTTGGGGGAACCTGTGCTTTTTTTCCCCCATAAATAAGGGTTGAAAGAATGTTGTAGCTCTCAGGTCTATGGAAGACTTCTGCTTTCCCACTGCACACTATCTCCACTCTTTAAGTGCACTTGCCCATGTGTGTTTCAGTAAATCTCAGTTGTGTGGAATGCTGATTTATTCTGACTTCCTAAATAGAATATTATGGAGACCTGTGTGTTTTAAATTAAAACACATTCCAGGCCTTGGGTACAAGCAAGCTTCAATAGAAAAGACTGTTTAAACCTATAAACAGTCCTATATTTCGATTACATTAATTCATAAATATTATAATAAATGCTACTTAAATTGGCCTTAAAATACTTCAAAGATAATGCATTATACTATAACTGTCCTGAGAGCACTAACCTTTATATGTCCCAGTAACTCAGCCATTAAGCACACTCCACTGCTAGATAAAAACGGTGCCGGGGGGGTAGTTATGAATAAATGTCTTGCTAAATTGTTCCAGTGTGATTAGTTAACTCTGTGCATGTGTGTATGTGTGAATGCATGGGTGACTCAGCTCAACCCTGGTAGATTTCTACCCATGGATCTCAGCACACATCCTCTTCCCAATCCTAGAGCAAAGTACCACAGCAGGAGCCTGTTCCTGCCCCGTGTGGAGAGAAGCGAGGATGGGAGAAATATGCAGCAGCTACACTCATGCCATGAAAGCTTATTTTCTTAGGGATCTGGCAAGACTTTCATGTCTTCCCACACATGCCGCTTCCTCTGTATCCTTTTCTCTCTTCATATATCTTCAAGAGAATCATAGTCCCCTGCCTCTTCCCTGGTATCTGCCCTGCTTTCAGGGCTGTTGGTGAGAGAACCTGATACTTGACTTTCCTTTTGTGATAGTTTTTTTTTGGGGGGGGCATAGTCATGTACTTTT